CGATGAAGCTTCTTCCACTGGAAGTCAGTGCACGTGATAAACCGGTTGCGGAATAATCAGATATAACTTAAGGCACCCAGAGCTACTAAGACCACCCCCCCCCCACACACTCCTCTCAGTCCCAGACCTCCATAAAATATCACGGTGTGAAGTGTGGAACAACTTACCCCCACCCATCCAAGCAAAGACTACGCTCCCTTCCTTTAAATCATCTCTTAAAAAATATCTACTGTCCAAGTATTAATATTTCTTGTAAAACCTACTATATTTACAGTACCTGCTTCTATTGTACCATCAAAACCGTTTTATCGGAAATTACCATTGCAATAAACATAATTGCCAACTAGACATAATCCTGACAGCTCTGACCTTTTGTTCAACCTTATTACTGTACAACCCATGTTGTATTGCTCCCCCATTATACTTATGTTTTTCAATTCCATTGTAATTTATGTATATATAAATAAATAAAAAATAAACTAAAAAATAAAAATAAAATTAATAAATATTGAAGTGATAACCGTGGTAACATTATGAGATGTTCTTATTACTACCATGCTATTGTACTATTCCAAATGATACTAAATGTTACATAATTCTTGAGATATATGTATAGTATATATCAGGTGCCTAAAAGAGGGCTCAGGTTCTCAAATGGCTCAGCCATGTTAATATTATTATTATAATCCACTCTGTATCTGTTTTTTTCTGGCTAAATAAACTGTTTCAATTCAAAGAAAACACGCCGCTAGGCCTTTAATCGGGTTGGCACCTAGGCTGCTCCGGGCTACGGTTCCGAGTATTGTTATAACCCAATGAATTTCCCCAGGAACTAGCAGACCTGACCATTACTTTAGTATGTAATTTAGGATTAAGATATATAATTATAAGGCATAAGGTCACAATAGATAGGAAAGTGTATATGTGAGAACCAGAATAATGTCAAAGTGAAAATTAAAGATTGGAAACTGTAGGCCTAGTTCAGTGTTAGACGACAGGCATCCCCCTCAGTGACACCCGGCTTCTCACCGAAACAGGTCAGTGAACTCCATCGTGCTTCATCAGCACTCAGAGACTTCTAGCAGTTTTGTACATCTTAAAACCTTGCCTAATGTTATACTGTAAAGTGAAGTAATAGTGTTGTAAAAATGCGTGGTGATAAATGCCCCTCAGGCATTATTCTCAGTGACGCCCGCCTTCTCAACGAAACAGGTGCGCGCCCAGAGCGTCGGCCGAGTAACCACCACGGCTCCACTGTGAGGAACCCACCAGGTGTGGTGTGTTCTGCTTATGCCATTATGCACCTCCACTATGAATCTGTGGATACCCTACATATCACCACCCAGGGTAGGAGAACATAATTGTATGTTTGAGAAGTTTCGCGGTCGCCACGTGGAGCGACCTGAGAATACCAGGCATGGAACCAGTACTGGTATGATTACCTGGGAAGTATCCCATCTACTTAGCAAGAGTAGTGTGAACGAGGTACCTAGTATGTGTACCTGAAGAATACCGAGGAGTTCTGTACTTGTAGGTGTGGAGTGTACCTGAGATGTGGTGCTATAATATAATGTGATGCTATACTATAACAGGTGGTGCAGTCTGATGTGTTGGCTGTTATGGTAAGAAGGAATGACCGAGGTAAGGAGGTCATTGGTTGTTATGAAGAGTGAAGATGATAATAGTAGTTATTTGATGAAGGACGTATACTGATGTGAAGTGTAGTGAACATAATAGTGGTTTTTCTGATGAAGGCCAACTCTTTTTGTATTGTGATGGGATGCAATATGTTTTTATAAAGAATAAATGTTAAGTCATGATTGATGTTTCACCCTCCTTCCCACTCTCGATTTTGTAAATGAAAAACTCAACCCAATGCCTGGCTTGCTCTGCCAGTGACCTAAACAAGCTACATACTCTCCAGGGTGTCTGGTGGCAGCATCCTTAAAATTAAGAGTAGATTTAAGTTATCACCTTAGGATTAGTGACCCCAGAATGGGCAGTATAGTAGTATATTTATTTATTTTTATTACAAGAAGTGTCTGACAAATGCAACTATTTATTAACATATGAAGTAAACATTCAGATGTTTCAGTGAAAGAAAGTAATAAAGACAGAAAGAATGAATCCGGGTGAAGTGTTGGCTGCATAGAACAAAACTCCAGTTGAGTTTTGAGTGGCTTATTTAAACACAGTTGTATCAACCTGTAACCACTGTTCACATCTGCAAGGAGGGGAAGGTGCCATTAAAGAGTAATCTAATTAAACTACTGCAAGGATTGTTCTTCATTGTTAATTTATTGGTTAAAATTGCACTTTCAACCACACGCCTCTTTCAACATGGACATTTTTCTGTGTTTTTATGGGTATCAGATGAGTTTGACCTTCATTGCTTTATAAAAATAGAGCGTTTGGTCCCAAATCATTACGTTATTAAAATCTATTTTTTTTAGTAACTATTACCGCGCTTACGTAAATAAATTATTTAATTTCCGACGATATTATGCATTGGCGACAAAAATGGTAAAGAAGAAAAGTTTCTTATAGCAGCCTTTTAAGTATGTTACACAAATAAAAAATTATCAATTCTATGGTTGTGAAAAACTGCAATAATACCACTCACCCTATTTTGGGCCAAGAATATGAAAGAACACACACACCAAAAGGTCTGTGATTAGGGTCAAACTCTCTACTAATACAGTACCCATTTCTGGTATAAATCATGATCCTACACCCTTCTAAATAAGCTAACTCACCGGGGCTGCCTCCCCACCAAGCTAACTGCTATGGAACTATTTCTCGACCACATAATTTACTAAACTAAACTAAACCTAACCTTGTCCTAATGGTGGGTAGGGTTAGGCCCTAACCTTACCTCACATGAATGATGCACAAGATAGAAATAATGTGGTTCAAAACACAATAATACCGTTTATTTTCCTCATTACACTTACCTTTGTTGCTCCTTTGGGAAGGCTAAAAGTCGAAGGGGATTATATAGTATCAAAATATTTATACATTCTATTATTTCACTTTGCAAACATATTATTCATGGATAACATATCTTTAGTTTCTGTTTACTAAAAACAAAATATATCGATATTTAACATTTAAAGTTTTCTCAGGGATATAGATAATGATTGTGTTGCAATGATGCTATCTGTACCGTGAGAAAATTACTAAAATGGTCGAGTAATCAAACGCAAAATAGGGCCTTTATTTTTGCTTTCTTCTCATTCCTTTGACCCTCATTGGTGGAGATGAGAGTCTTGTACATGAGCCAAGTTGTTTCAGATCACTTGTAAAAAGTCTTACTGGAACCTCAACCTTTTTGCCTTTTGCTGAAAATTATCATACGTTATATTTAAATAAAAAATCTGTCATCAGATTAGCATTTCGGATATTTAAGACGTGGTCAACAAAAATGTCTGACAGCTTTCACAACGATCAGTGCAGGCCATGGTCATTTGGTAAGGTTGGTGATTGATTGTGATGCATTGTGTAACCAATACGATGTGTAGTATTTTGTATATCAAGTATCGCTAGCTACTAGAGAAATTAACAGAAATACATAACTCATGAGTGTTGTTCGGAATTCTTGGTCCGGTGTGTCATATTGTATGGCAGCATAAAGGTGCAGAACATTTTTTTGTTAATTGTACAGTCAACCAAAAAATGTTCTGCGCCACTGGGTCTGATGATCACCACTGAAACCATGTACATTTCAATCATTTGGTAAGATGGGCACATCTGATTGTGTGGTGCCTTTGCAGTTATTTTAGACAAGTTGAACTGCTAAAACTGACGCTCATCCATTGTGCACCTTTAACATTAATATGTTTTTATATCAGACATGTGTGGGCATTTAAGTTACTTACACTTTTTGCATGATATTTCTAACAAAACCACTGTTGATGTGCCTTCCTACCGATAACTGTAAACCAGAATCAAAGAAATTGTTCCTAATAAGCTAAACAAGATGTGGTGTCTGCAAAAACAATAATTTGTCAGAAAAAATGAGTTTGTAAAGGAAGACTTTTCTATACATTAATATCTGTTACCATAACCTCACATCGTGGGTCCAAGATGTTTACCATGGCAACAACTGGATATCCACACGTTTTTTCCTGCTCAATCAAGCCAAAGAGAGTATCCTTGGTCATATTACTGAGTTGGCTACAATGCGTTCACACAATTTTAATTTCCGAGAACAGCACTACCACCAGAAGGTGGTGTTCACTTTCGTTCACTTTTTCCACAAATGTTCTTATCATTACAGTATTTTAAAAGAGGCGACATTTACTAGAACCTAATAGAGCTTGGCCTAACTTACCAAAGAAACCTATTTAGTTTTACCCATGGCAACCCCTGCTATATTAATCTGAAAGTACTTTTGATAACTGGTACCAATAAAAGCAACTTGTTAAACTGAAGCTGGGGAGGGGACGTAGCAGAGAAAGTCACCAAGACAAGGAATTGGCAAAATTACAACTACAGCATTTTTATCCCAGATCCTTAAACAGCATGTTAGGGAGAACAGTATCTACCTACAAATTTTAGGCAATGTCAAAATTTTCAAGATTTGGGCTGAAACACTTTTCAAGAGTTTAGCAACCTGTAGGCCCATGGTTTGTGAATGGTAAGAAAAGCAGCATTTATAAGACATTGTACTTACTGCTTTCTGGTGGTGCAGGTTTATGGAGAACATCATGTAGATCCATGTGTAGGTCGTCCTCCTGATATAGTAAATCATCTATATCTCTTGGATTTTGTAGGATCTACTGCAAAACAAAGTGTATGGCAGCTGAGTAGGCAAAGCATGAGGAGGTGTTAAGGAGTGCGCAGCTTCATAAATAATGTTATGACAATACAGTACTGTACTGTAGTTTTGCATGGTGGTATCTAATTTTATTGGTTTGCTTGTTTTTCTTTTACATATTTTCTTCCAAGTTTTGTTCAAATGTTAACAAGAAAAATAAATATAATGTAAACTATTTTAGTGCTTTTCACATTTTATTTTTATTTCAACAATCTCATTTTATGTTACTGAAATGCAGAGCTGTATCTTTTTTCTAAGATTTTCCTGCACCGTAGCTCATTATGTATTACGTACTCAGAGCCGTGAAAACAAACATCAGTCAGGATTTTGGTAACATATGGTATATACCTGTTTGAGAGCTTTCTCATTATTAAAACTAATATATTTTATCATTAAAAAAAAAAGTATTTGTAAATATTATTTCTTAGTAATATTTCCATATAATTTTATTAATAAAATGTGTATACTGTACAGATTGTAATAATAAAAACGTGTACCCTGTATAAAACTTTCTTTCATGTCTTGCGCCTCTCAAACATCTTAAGATAAACATATGCAGCTCTTAGGTTAAGTAAGTCTGGCTACCCCTGGTACAGTATATACTTTCATAATTGCTGTTTTTATGCCTAAAATTTTAAGTTTTATTGTTATGGTGTAAACTTAAATATCACCATGTTTATTTTACCCTAAGTGAATATAATAGGACTCAGGGCATGTCTCTGGGTGTTCAATAACCTAACCCCTTATTTCCCATCAGATCAAGCTCTTTCTAACCAGTAGGTGTTTCAGGAACAAAACCCACACAGTTGGTGAGTAAAGAACGTATAGAACATACTAATATCCCCTCCAGCATATTTGTATTAAAAAAAATATTGGGACGTATAAATTATTATTTTTTGGCAAACAAAGAAACCAGATATACTGCATAAAGACATTTAACCCTTAACCAGCAACTAAGTATTCCCTACTGCCCCACATGTATGTATGTATGTGTGTGTGTGTGTGTGTGTGTGTGTGTGTGTGTGTGTGTGAAACACAAGGAAAATGAAACTTCCCCTGATGATGGTAACTGTTCCTACAACTAACTTCCCCTGATGATGGTAACTGTTCCTACAACTAACTTCCCCTGATGATGGTAACTGTTCCTACAACTAACTTCCCCTGATGATGGTAACTGTCCCTACAACTAACTTCCCCTGATGATGGTAACTGTTCCTACAACTAACTTCCCCTGATGATGGTAACTGTCCCTACAACTAACTTCCCCTGATGATGGTAACTGTCCCTACAACTAACTTCCCCTGATGATGGTAACTGTCCCTACAACTAACTTCCCCTGATGATGGTAACTGTCCCTACAACTAACTTCCCCTGATAATGGTAACTGTCCCTACAACTAACTTCCCCTGATGATGGTAACTGTCCCTACAACAAACTTTCACTAATGATGGCCACTGTTTAAGGGTTAAATGATCCATACAATATCTAGCAGCCAAACTGTTCTGTTTGTCCAACACACAAGTCATACAGCCTCATAACAGAATTATATATTCACTCAGTTTTGACCATTTTTGTATTACTTTTGTCAAAATGTAATTAAAGGAGAATCTCCCGTCTGTTCTTGCAATGTTTCTGATGTGCTGGTGTCCAATAACTTAACATACAGTACTTCTGTATTGTATTTCATACATACAGTATATTTAATCATAATGACTCACCCTGTATTAAAGTATATTAAGACCACAGTTTTCAGCGTCAGTTGTTACACGTCATCTAAAGTTTTTCTGTTGTAATTTTGTCTCCCAGCACATCTGTTAAACATCATGTATTCCTACAGTCACATACAAGTCACCATCTGTTGTATCTTCCTTCTTAGACTCATCACTGTCCAGTATTCCAACTTTTACAAATACATAATTTTCCAGGTCGTTTTCCTTCACTTTCAAACCTTGGTCTGGTTTTTCACATGAGAACTCTTCATCACAGTAAACTTCTTCTTCTTTCACAATTTCATCAATTTCCTTGATTTTTCCTTTAAGTTCTTCATTAAATCCATCATTGTCTGAATTTTCTTCCTTTACAGGTATACCAAACACTTGCCATCCTTTACTAGAGACGTCAACATGAATGTTGTGTTTGTGAGTACAGGTATTAGGCTGGACCTGAAACACAAAAATATTTGTAGTGAACTTAACAGATAAGAACTGCTAGGTACTGTCTCCTCTTAACATATATCCTACAATTAGCATCTCAATTTGTCCCTTGAGCACTGATGATATGACTCAGGTAAAGGTAAAACATACTTTATTGCAACAATTCACCCCAAAAAGTAAATGTTCTCTCAACAATTTGTAATGTTAATTGTAATGAAGTTAATTCAATACAAAATTGTACCATTAAATTTTGATTCAAGAACTGACATCCTTGTTTACAGACAAATACAATGTACTGTATATATGACTCCTGCTCCCACCTACAGTAGTCTGAAATCTCAACCATTAATGCATTACAGGTATCCCTCGTTAAATGGACAATAACTTAGCGATATTTGTGTTTACAATATAATACTTTTAACACCCTCTCTTGTTTAACGCTGTTTAGCGATGTTCGACTCACTGGGGATAGTTTGGGAGGGAAGACGGAAAAACTCCCAAGTGTGCATCAATACAATACAGTACTGTACTGTAATATAATGCAGCTTAGAAATAAAGAAAATATAATGTAAAACTATACAATAAGAAAAATGAAGAGCCTGTGTGGGAAGTGAACGTGTGTATTGAGACAGTGAGCTGTAAGTGAGGCCAGCCGCACTCTCCCTCCCCCTATGTGACGTCAGGGGCCTTCACAGCCAGCAGTCACACACGTCTCTCGAGTCAGCCGAGTGACTGCCAGGCTGAACTGTGTCGCATGTATACTGTACCAGTTAATGTGAGGAATAAATAATAATAATAATAAAATACTGCCTTACCATTTGGCAATCATTTCACTCCACACTGGACAGGGGCTGCACACAGCTGACAGATCTCCCACCTCCCTCACCGTGTGTGTTATTCCCGCACTAGAAGAAACTTTTAGTCCCTTCATGTTTTTAACTTTGGGGTGAAATTTCAGTCACGCACCGGTCTTTCTCTCGCTGTTGTTAATATGTTTCTCATAATGTTTAGACAATTTTAAGACCTTTTTCTTCTATGATATTTCCACCGGAAATTAAGGATAACCGAGATATTAATTTTTCAATGTTATTAGAGTTGGTCAGTCAGTCATAAGTGTCGCCATTTGTTGTTTACGTCTCACAGAGAAGGTCTGACCACCCATAACGCAGTGCTCCTTACCTCCGTGTTGGCTTCTTAAGAGTCTACAGTGCATATGCAGGAGGGGGGGGGGGGTTCTTATTGGCCATAACAATAGGAGACATAATTGGGCAAGAGTTTTTTGTCTTAGCCAATGAACAATGCGTGGGTGCGTTGGGAGTGGAGATTTTATTTTTCAATACCAAAATAACCAGATATGGTTGAACAGGTGGAAAGAGCTGTGCCGACATTGTGACAGAGATTATTTTACGTCAATTGTAGAGTTTCATCAGAAAAAGTGTTAGGTTAGGTTAGGTTTTGTTAGTTGGTATTATATTTGTGATTTACGTACTTGAAAAAAAAATACATTTTCGTTAAGATTGATGGGAAAGGGGGAGGGGGTGTAAAGAAAACTATTGATTTCTGGCTGAAATGAAAACCAAATTCGTTTGAAACTCATCAAATAACACCGGAAAAACATATTTTTAATATCCAAACAAAGACTGGTGCAGAAGTGAAATTTGACTTCTTTTTTTTTGCATACTCTGTATGAACGATTGTGAGCATAAAAAATCTACATGAAATTACAAGTTGTACAATAACACAGCTCAGAGCGCACCTGCAGTGAGTGCTACTGGGTGGTGAGTTGGTGGATCCCTATTGTTAAACGAGGAATACCTGTACAGTATTAGGAGTCATTATACAAACACTCCTTTCATCTTGGATGATACAATGTAACTGATCTATTAACAGTTTATCTCATGTATTACAAAATACAGTAATTTAGAATACTCCCAAATTCAGAAATGCTTGAACTCCCATTATTTCAAATGGTGGCAGAAACAGTGAACAATATTATGGTAATTAGAAGAGTGAAGTGTGTGTGTGTGTGTGTGTGTGTTCATACACGAATTATCCCAGATAACATTAACACTTAGGTCTGCATTCTTCCTACAGTATTACAATACTGTTCTTATATTGAACCTTTATATAGAAAATTATTAAAACATTCACCCTTTCATTTACCTGGTGTAAAAAGTCACACTTTGAGCCAAATAAAAAACAATTGCCCGAGATATATAAACAATATGTGTAGTGTCAATATATAACTGTACAAGGTAAAGTGACTACTGTACTGTACAACACTTACCAGCACTTCCTTGTCAAGTGTTTCCTCTCTCTGGCTTTCTGATGTTTTCTCTTTTGATCCTTTTCTCTTTGTTCTTGGTCCACTTTGTTGTTCATCTGGAAAAATAGTATATCAATTGATGATAACTTACAGGGCATTACATAATGGGCCCAACCCTGCTTCATATATACTGTACAGTATATATATATATATATATATATATATATATATATATATATATATATATATATATATATATATATATATATATATATATATATATATATATATATATATATATATATATATATATATATATATATATATATATATATATATATATATATATATATATATATATATATATATATATATATATATATATATATATATATTAGGTATGCTATAACGAATCTAATTGGTTCTAGAACCTTGTTCGTTATAGCATTCATTCGTTATAGGATTAATCCGTTCCAGGCCCCCAAATACAACCACTTAACACTGAAAAATATAATATAAAATTGTAAAAATTGTAAAAAAGTGCATAAATATGCATCTAAACCCCTGAAATAAAGAATATCATTAATATTTGTAATAAAAAAACAATAAATTAGAAAAAAAAAAAATAATGTTTGTTGTAGGAGTTTCGTTCGTTATAGCATTCTCAATTTTATAGGTAAAACCGTTCGTTATAGGAATATTCGTAGTAGGATTCGCATCAGTGTATATACTATATATGTATATATATATATATATATATATATATATATATATATATATATATATATATATATATATATATATATATATATATATATATATATATATATATATATATATATATATATAATGTTGTATGCTGATGGCTTACTGCTGATACTATTAAAGAGGCAGTGGATACAGTTGGGAAATGGAAGGATAAAATAGAGGCAGGGGCCTGAGAGTGAACGTGGCAAAACAAAGAGTGTGGGTGAGAGACCCTTGGTGGAGAGTGGAAAATGGCCATGAGCTGCTGGCAACAAAGGTGTTGGCAGTGACTCAATAATGTGCAACAAGTGTGGAAGGTGGGTACACAAGAGGTGTTGTGGCAGACTATGGGATGTTGCTGACTTTAATTGTTCTCTATGTGCAGGTAACCATGTGCCCACAGCAAGGCTGGGGAACTAAACATTGTGTATATGTTGATGTGTTCTGTTACCTGGGTGACATGATCAGTGCTGGTGGGGGTGCTGAAGCCTGCTCAGTTGCAAGTGGCTGTTGCAGGAAGTTTAGGGAGCTGCTGCCTTTATTGATGACAAAAGGACCTTCCCTCTGAGTGAAAGGATGATGTATGTGGTTGGTGTGAGAAGTGTGATGTTGTATGGCAGTTAAAGATGATGACATAAGTACTGCAGACTTGAGCCAGCCAAAATGAGAATGCTGAGGTGTATGGAACTGAGAAGCTGTCTATCAACTTGGTTTTATTCAATGTGCAAGTGTTATATGCTTTATATTAAACCCTAAATATGTGTGACTAATTTGGTGCCAACATTCATGGTGTATTACAGTAGCTAGGTCCAGGAGACACCAAGCACTTCAGCTTTACCTTCTAAAACTTTATTTTTTAATGACCTTAACTTGTACAAACTTAACTTTTGGTTAAATTAAAATACTGTATTGTCTTTTATATACAGTACAGTACTATATGACCACAGTACTGTAGTTGTATTTACCTTGATCCTCAGTTTGTATTTGAGTCACATCTTGTGCCAATATCTTTCTCTTTCTTGTTTTATTTGCTGGTCTGCCCTTATTGTTCCCAGGAGGTACACCATCTTCTGAGGTTGATGGAGTTGTTGGTTCAGCATCTGGCTGTTGTCTGTAAATACAGTAATAACATTCTCTTATAATCACACATAACTCTTCCATTTTTCATAAACATTTAACAATAGTTTTTTGCTGTGGTAACAACTCCACACATGAATGACTCACACACTGATGGAGAAACATATAGTTTCATGTTACACTGGCATATACTTGTATAGATACACTGACCCTTGAAACAGGAACAGACAATCACAAACTCAATTGAAAAGTTTTACTTCTTAAATAATAAAATAAAGAAAATATCATTGCATACACTAAACACCTTTGTTCCAGACAGCACATGGCCATTGGCCATTTTCCTCTTTCCACAATGGGTCCCTCCCTCACTTACACCACGAATTAATACCTTTGTTTCTGCCACATTCATTCTCAGTCCCTTTGTCTCTATTCCACACTTCCATTTCTTAAAATTCTTCACTGCCCCTTTATTACTATCTGCTATGAGCACTAAATCATCAGCATAAAACAACTGTCAGGACAGGCCAGTATCATATATTTTGTCTCCATTATATATACAGGTACAGTAATGCCATATTTCATAAGAGTAAACTGTATTTTGAATTATACTCCAGAGTGAAAGCAATGCTGTATACCAGTACAGTAAATACCATATATGGAATATTTTGTTGTCTCCAGATGAAACCATTCTGCTTAAGGGAGGAAAACCTATGTAAATTTTACTATATAGGTGATGATATCAAATGGACATCTAAAATGCATTTACTGTACAGTATTACTAAACTACAATATGAAATACAGTAGAAGAAATACACGTAAATAACAAAATTAATTCAATATCAAATGATACCTTATGTACAAAAGTGATTCCTTTTGTTGGTCAGGATTCTCCTGTATCGCTGGGCCACATTCTCTGACTATCTCTCGTACAAGTCTTTTATTATTTCTTTTATCGGCTCGTATCTTCCGAGTGATAGACGCCGGTTTCTCTGTAAGAACGGGATGATTTAATAAACTCGGTACAGTACTAATAATTTGTGTACGGTATCAGACACATGGTTTCATTACTGGTTTATAAAAGAAACACTCCCAGCATTGTTGGTGAAGCAAGGAAGATACACCAACTAACTGATAAGGTCTCTTGCACCATCCCCACACAACTAACATCAAGGTAACCATTCAATGTTTCTTTATTTTCAGAAGCATTATTCCCAATATTTTATGTTATTTGGACCCATTTGGGGATGTTCCAGCCTAACTTTGAGTGAGCTGCTCCTAATTGTTGAAAACAAAAATAAATAAATAAATAAATTATAATAAAATAATTAATTCATAAGAAAACACATAAATTACACTTCTTTCATTTCCATGTAGTGGGAAGTTATCTTTGCTTTCAGGACCAATTACTACAGTACATATACTGTACTGTATAATATTATCCTGTACTAAACTATATCATGTAAAAACTGATGACTGATAGTGCAAGAGGTAATTTTTTCTTCCAGATTTGACCTAATTTTTTAAAGGATGATACTGCAGTGTATTGGTCAGATAATGAAGAGTGTTATGACACTGAAATGTTTACCCTAGAAACATATTTTGACAAGAGTTGAGCTTTACCATGCCGGTATATGTGAACAAATAGATAAAATTACAATTTAAACCCCCCAAAAAATGCACGAGTTTTTAGTACTTTTAATGCTTAAAAAGACAAACATAAGCTGATGCAAGGGATTGAGATATTTTCTTGAAATGTGCATGATATGGCTGTAAATACCATTATGCCAACTGAATTTTGGCATATGACTCATACTGTATGCAGCTTTTATAAATAAATTAACTACTCTATGCTATACATTTTCACCCTGCACAAAAAGAGACGCTGAAAAATGCTTTGGTTAACTCCTTTAAGTCTTCCAATTAGACAGACTGTGTAGAATACAGGAGGATTTTCAAATGACAAAATGGGACTCGGGAGTAATGTGCCTTAACATAACTTGGGACCTGTCTTAAAACTTGCATTGTGACTTGGGTGAAGTAAACCTAATCTTACTGGCAACTTATAAATTAATGAAAGCTACTTTGGGAATCTGACTCGAGTATTATCACTGTAGACAATAGAACATTAAAAAAGTAAAAGTTTTATTATCTCAATATTTTAAAGTGGGCAGGGCTTTCAAGTGGAGGGAAAATGTGGGGTAAAATACTAAAAGTAACACCAAATAAATCTTTGAAAACCTGACCTAACGTTTCCTAACCTTTAAAAATCCTAAAACTACAAAAAGTTTACATTATTCAGTTTTTCAGTATCTTGTAAGTGGTGTTGTTTTCGGTTTTTAGTAAGCGTTGGTGTTGTTTTCGGTGTTCAGACGAGGGGAGTTCCATAAACTAAGTGATTCTTAACATTTTTACAAGTTAGGAAACGTTAGCTCAGGCTTTCAAAGGTTTGTTTGGTGTTTTTCGGGTCCGATTAATTACCCAAATGTACCCAAATGTAGCCACAAGGAAGTCAAATAATGGTCCTACATGAATAAATCAGATTGCCAATCACTTCTCGACTAGTATTTGGTGTCACGAAGTCACAAAAAATTGGTAAACTTAATTTAATCTGAGTTAATAGATCAAGTGCATGTACCTAACCTAACCTAACTCAGATTAAATTAAGTTTACCAATTTTTTGTGACTTTATGACACCAAATAATAATCGAGAAGTGATTCACAGCCCGATTTACGCTTGTAGGACCATCATTTGACTTCATTGCGACTACATTTGGGTACATTTGGGTAATTACTCGTTCCCTCGGTACATGCACGCGATCTATTAACTCAGATTAAAGTAAGTTTTCCAATTTTTTGTGACTTTGTGACACCAAATACTAGTCGAGAAGTGATTGGCAGTCCGATTTATTCATGTAGGACCATTATTTGACCTCATTGCGGCTACATTTTGCTACATTTGGGTAATTAGTCGGACCGGTGTTTCCCTTAGTAATTTACCCCAGAGTTTCCCTCCACTTCAAAGCCCTGCCCTCTTTAAACAAGTACCGGTAATATTGTTGGTAATTTTATCCATTAAAATACAAGAAAAATATACATTTCTGACGAAAATGCCATAGAAGAAAAGTGTCTTGGAATAGTTTGAACTATGCGAAAAATGCATTTCTTTGTGGAAAATCTAAACCTGGCTTCTATCATAAATTGACCAATGTTAAATATCTCGCTTTTATGTAATTTGCACCAGAAATACCATTGAAGTGACAAAAAGTGAAATAATACCCAAAAGACTCATGGTATAAGTTGTGACCTCGGGAAAATTTTAGTTTCGGTCATCCCTGTACAGTATTAAGATATCCAAACTATGTGATTTCCGACATATGTGAAGGTCCAAATCATTCAAAACACATCAAATACCATCGGAAAACCATAGTTTGGATATATAACCGAACCTAACCTAATTGCTAAGATTTCCTGGATGACCGAAACTAAAATAATATCGTGACTCCAACTCTAAACTTTCCCTTATACAATACATACCTGTAACTGATTTTGCCTTTGGTAGTTGTAGGGATGGTACAGCCCACGGGTACAGTGGTCTAGTTCTTTTTGGTGATAGTTGTAGCCGCACTTTCATTATTCTGTACTCAAGTTTGTAATCAGTTTCTTGGAAGTGGAGAGAACACACCCGGGCAAATTTAGTGTTGACTTCATCAGAGCGCTTACAAGCTTGTATCCATTTATTACACGTGTCCTTATCTCTGGGGAATCTGAAATACTTAATGTGCTCTCTGGTTCTGATTTTAGGTTTGTTGCTACACCCGTAAACTGCACAAATAACCATTATTGTGTTATAGTGTTGACAACAGTGACGTCTGAGAGCTGGGCATTGTGGGTAAAACAAGTACTTGGTGAACTGGTAGTGGATTCCTCCCCTACAACGCTGTTTGTCCCTGAGTAGTCGACCCCACCAATTCCACAGTGTGTGCCCCGTGGTCGAGGTCAACCAGCGCCGCCCACGGAGCGGGGGTCAGCTACTAAGCCACGCCTACCCCCCGCTATTTAAGACCTGACCTCGTGGTGACCTCTCTCCTCTTCTAGCTACAGCCGCAGCCAGCTACACCTCCTCCTCCTCCTGCCTGGCGGTCCTCTCTCCAGCCGGCGAGTATGGCGACCCACAAGCTGTCCTCCTCTGAGCATCCTCACCAACCAGCTCTCTCTACATCACGCTTGTAACCATGCTGCCTTCCCAGCACCAAGCTGCACTGTACATCCAATACAACATGTATACAGAGAGCACATTGTGAGTTTCCTTTCTCCATCCCATCCTGAGTGTGAACCAAACACCCTGAACCCCACAAACTGTCCTTGCGTCCAAGTGGCTAACGAGCCGATCAGTGACAAAGAAGATAATAAGTAATTAAATTAAGTAAAAGTAACCTAATCATATTTATTCTGTAGCCTCGTCAGCAATTAACATTTTTTTTTGTAAATGATTTTATGTTTCAGGATGTTAATATTAATTGTTCATCGTTTCTGTTACCCATCCTTGAATATTGTACCCCAGTTTGGTTCTCAGCTGCATAGCTTACTCTTTTTTTTTACTTTACAATACTGTACGACCCCTAGGCCCCGTTGTGGGTCGATGACCTGTGCCCGAGTGGGCTATTCCCCGTAAAAAAAAATCCTCTTCACTGCTGATCGGCTCGTTAGCCGTTTGGGCGATCGGTCACGTCTCTGTTACGCACTGTTGGCAAATACTGGCTCCTGAAAGTACCTGAACCTGCTCCAGTGCTGGTCTTGAAAGAGCTCACACTCGGTGCTGTTGGGTCCTCTACACCGGTATTGACAAGGGCACCGAAGCATCAGCTGAATTAAAGGGCGGTAGCGAGCACTACCTACATGTAGAAAAGGTTTCTCGACAATGGCTCAACACAATTTTCACAATTTTCAAATTAATATAATATAAACCAACTAAATATAACCCAATATTATAAATATAATATTCTATAAGTAATGCATTAAATTGATATTTTTAGATCGTCAACTAAAAGGTGTTCGTGGCACTTTCTCAGCATTGTAAGTTGTTGTGTTGGGGAGGGAGATGTCAACACAAACTTGTATGCTATATTGTTTTAGTCGGTAATAATTTTTTACATTTAACAAGATTATTATGTGTAGTTTGACCTTGCTTAAACAGTGAAAGAAAGATCGGTGTAAAACAATAAATTCACCAAGGTTAATATTTGTTTCAGCACATGACCTGGACTTGAGGATGACAATTCAATGGGTTCTTACTTAAACCTTTATCTTCACCACTGATCGGCATGTTAGCCGTCTCTGTTACGCACTATTGGCAATTCCTAGGCATGTACTGGCTCCTGATGTATCTACCCACAAGTCTGGTCGTGAAAGAACTCACTTGGTGCCGTCACAACACTGGCAGATTGTGCCAAGAGATCACAATCCCCTCTCCAAAAAAGTTTGCCTTCTTAATTTTCTGAACTTGTGGCTTCTTCAACCTTGAGCAGTAACACTTGGTGGGCCGGGCGTCCACCAGCTCCAGGTATGGACACTCGATTGAGTAGTGCCCTCCGAGAGGGTCCGACTAATTACCCAAATGTGGCCGCAGTGAAGTCAAATAATGGTCCTATATAACTAAATCGGATTGCCAACCACTTCTCGACTAGTATTTGGTGTCACAAAGTAAAAAAAAAATTGGAAAACGTAATTTAATTTGAGTAATAAGTGCATGTACCTAACCTAACACAACACAACTCAGATTAAATTAAGTTTACCAATTTTTTGTGACTTTATGACACCAAATAATAATCGAGAAGTGATTCACAGCCCGATTTACGCTTGTACGACCATCATTTGACTTCATTTGGGTACATTTGGGTACATTTGGGTAATTACTCGCTCCCGCGGTACATGCACGCGATCTATTAACTCAGATTAAAGTAAGTTTTCCAATTTTTTGTGACGCCAAATACTAGTCGAGAAGTGATTAGCAGTCCGATTTATTCATGTAGGACCATTATTTGACTTAATTGCGGCGACATTTGGGTAATTAGTCGGACCGCTCTGAGATGTTAATAAACTTCAATTTGGTTATTCCTAGGCAGTTGCAGGCATTCTAATCTCTGGACAACTGTGGTGCTGTTGTGCAGGCAGCAGTCTGATGGCCTTCCTTTGGACATTTTCAGTCAACTGAGTCTCTAGCATATCTCTGAGACCAAAAGGGGTGATAGTATTCCAAATGAGGAAGCTCCTTACTTTTAAAAGAGATTTATGAAGGACGGGCCATCTAGGTATCTGCACGCTCTTCTTATAGGAACCACTGCAGTAGCTTATGGTTGTTGCTTTATTCACTTTTTTCTCACAATGGTCTGAGAACTTCAGTTCATTGTCAACATACACATCCAGGCCCTTTTCACATATGGTCTCTGTTAATTTGATTCTAAATTAATTTTCTTGTGTGGTATTTCTCATGGAAATTGATACACCCTGTATGTTATGTTAAGTTAGGTAAGAAAAGTCATGTATCCTGAAATATATAAATTGTTAGGATAGGATCTTTTAGTTTCATATTTTTCTTGTTGCAGTAGGTTAGGTGAGGTACCCCACAATTCCCCTCTACTTAAATTCCTTGCCCACTTTTGGGAATTTCAAAATTGTTGACTGGTGGAGGGGGTCATATCTTTGTAAATGCTCATTTGCACCATACAGTAAATGAAGGTCAGAATCCCACAAAATACAGTGGAATATAACAAACATAAACAATTTTCATGCCAAAGCCAAGTCATGCACTAAAACGAATAATTACCATAAGATAATTCTTTAGTTACTGAAGCTCAGATAATTACCATATATGTATTGTATCCTTAAAGTAAACCTTAGAGAAGAAATGCAGGAGTGTTATTCATCTCATTCACTTTTATCTGACATTAGCTTTCAGTAATTAAGTTTTAAAAGAATGATTGTGAGAACTGAGAATGTTTAATGGTCACCTGAAGAATCTCCATCCCAGCTTATTTCGTTTAAAGATTAATGCTAACCTAACCTAACCTCGTCCCCTCAAATAGTGTTGGGTGGTTAATCTTTTGGTGAAATAAGCTGGGGTGGAGATTCTTCAGATGGTCCTGGTTAACTGTGGCTCGGGGCACTAATGCTCCAGTGATGGATTTACTGTGAGGGCATAAAAATTAAGTTATCTTCATTTTCCTAATTCTTAAAGTTCTGAGGTACTCTGTAATTTTCACTACTTGACATACATAAATGTTCGGGAAACACACGATGGATTAAGTCGCTAAGTTATATTTGACACGATCTTTTTTATTTTACCTTTTTTTAATTGTGCCCCAATAGTTCTTGATGCTGTGGATCTCTCAGGGTGTGCACTCTAGGTAATTAGAGTAAATCATCAGTAACACTATTTCATTTCATTGTAACATGAAGAAACCACTGTGCTTTGTAAACCTTTGGTCCCTTCCTGGTACAGTACAGGTAAAGTTATACAGGTGAGTGATGGTTTGTTTCAATTCACCAGAGGTTGTTGGAGGCACTGATCTGCTTCCCAGGAGACTAAAGGTAAGTTTTACAGTTTATATTGGATTACCTAATGATTAACCAGCAGTATATGTCACTTTAAGATTAGTCACTTTAATGCTAATTAATCCTAATCCCCCAAGTTGTGTTAGGGTGTTTAATTTATCAGGTGAAATAAGCTGGGGCCTACCAGTAGTCTTAAAGTGATCCTGTACATTTGTCCAAAATACCACTTTAAGTTGCCTCAATTAAAATCATTATCATCTCCAAAAGTTGCACAGTAATGTACAGTATATTAATTATTTTCCATTTTCAGGAGTAAACACATAATTTCATTGTTCACTAGAAAATTAAGCTGTTACAAAGAGAAGACACCATTCAGTGCACTTTAGTAGAGAAGCACTATGGCCAACCATGCAAATGCCATGAACAAAGTTAAGATCCTGGTTGTTGGAGATTCAGGTAATATACAAAGACCAACTTACTGTACTGTACATTATTTAGATATTTAAAGGCAAATTTGCCCATACACATTATAGTGTACTGGAGTTGAAATAGAATGTAAACAAAGCAAATAAACTATTGTTTGAAAGAGGAGCAAGTGGGGAGGATTTCACAAGTACTATATACCTAAATTGTTGTTTAATTAAAATCACACATTTTTATCAGGAGTGGGAAAATCCTCACTAGTTCACCTGATCTGCCATGGACAGTCTCTGAGTAATTCATCTTGGACCATTGGCTGCAGTGTAGAAGTTCGTGTGCATGAGTATCGTGAAGGAACACCCAGTCAACGACCATACTTTGTGGAACTTTGGGATGTGGGTGGCAGTAACTCACATAGGAATGCCCGACACGTGTTCTACAACCCCATCCATGGTGTGTATACTATTGTTTTGAATTTCCATTGATGATGTTCAGAATTAATACACATTGGTTATAAAAATACCCTTGACCCCATTTGTAACAATAAAGTTAACAGATAATAATGCATAGCATATTTTGGTCAATTTTTGTTTCCCCGTTTTAACCTTCCTTTACATTATTCATGATAATCTCAATTTTATGTACACCATATTTCGTTTTGAATTTATATACAGCTACTGTTCTCATTCTTTCAGGCATCATTCTTGTGCATGACTTGACCAATCGAAAGTCACAGTTAAATCTTCGTCGCTGGTTGTCTGAAGTTTTGCTCCGGGAAGGAAGTGGAACCAAATCACGAATACCTTTAGTTGATGACTTTGATGCAGAGCAATTTGGAGGGTTTTCTCAGGTATATGGAATAAAAAAGGTAGCTATTTTATGAATTTTCTATTTAGCACATCTTCCTGGGAGCCTGGGTTGTCTGTACTGTATGTCTACAAGGGGTAAGCTTGATGACTCTAGTCTTAAGTTGTTACTTTATGGCTACATGGTTTATAAGACTTTCCTTATTACGGTTTGTGGATTTTATGCACTGTAGTTTTGTGTGTAGTGTTTTATTAAATGTTATTTTTAAGGTTTAATGTTTTATTGTATAAGTAGAATTGGTTCTACATTTAGAGAAATTATTTAAGTTGGTTGTGGAAACTGTTGTATGTTTGTATATATTAAGAGATATATAAGTATGCATGTAGAGTACAGTACTGCCTTCAAGTGAATCACAACAATAACTCCTAAAATACTGTATGAACTTATGTAGCGGATGTTAAGGCAAGTTGTAATGATGAAGATGTAACTGTACAGGTATAATTACATACTGTATATTCAGATAAAAATTGATAACTGCATTTATTTTAGAATACACATACTGTACTATCCTAGAGCTCGGGTCCTGCAGGTATATTATATGCTATTATTTTGAGAGCAGCTTGATGGTGACATGCAGTTTTCATATATAAATACAGTAGTGATTAAATAAGATCATATTGATGCCAAATTACAATATTACTGCATTACCATTTTAGGGCCATCCTTGAAGAAGTCTATTCGGTGATAAATAATACTTGTTATGTATCAACAACAGGAACCACTTTATCATACACCTTCATAATTTGTATTGTAAACGAGCAGTTCATTAGATCAAGTTATACTGTTATAGTTACATCGTAATAATTCTCTTTGTGGATGAGTGTGGCATACATACTATTAGCCTGTAAAGAGAGGTATGGATAGGCCGAGATAAAACCTTTGGGTATCATCAGAGCATTTCACAATAATGCAGTACAGTACTGTACAATATTTGGAACTGGATGATGTCTAGGTTATCCCCTGAATCATACACATACCTGTATCATGAATTTCTGTTTCATTCTTCTATGAACCTAATACAAAGCTTACTCTGAAATTATCATGTCTAGCATCCTATCACATTTGTATGAATGCAGTAATTGGCACTGACAAGCAAATACAATCATTGTACATCTAGAATTGTATGTATGTTGTAAATGGAGGGTACATTAACTGCATACTGTATGTACAGTATTAGTTATAGTGTGTGTATTAACAATGTCTTAAGTTATAGAGTGTGGGAAGGTTGCATTAAGTACCAATTATTATACTGTACATGGAATATTGATGTGAATTTAATGGATATATAAACTCCATCACAAAATTGGATTCAGAAAATGGTAGCTTCATTCTTTATTTTAACTTTTTTTACAGCTTCCAGTGTTTGTTGTGGGGACAAAGCAGGACCAGATTGCTGAATTTCGCACATCTGGAAGAGTTCGTAGCTCATCCATTGCTGATGAATGTGGTGCTGATGAGATTAGTGTAGTGAGTGTTGTGCTTGCATACAATACGTACTATACCATCTCTGGAATCCTCCCAGAGATGTGCTCCTCACCCACACTATCCAGCTCCTATTACTCCAAGACCTCCCTCTTCCACCACCCAACACAATACTCTCCTTCACAGATGACCTAGCAGTACCCTTCAACATACAGAGTCATCAGGCCACCAACATACTTAAACAACATACGCACATTAAAACAATGGCTCACTGAAAACTCCATGACTATATCACTTAAAATTTACTGGGTACATTATGTATGTTTACATTTTCTGTCTTCCAGGCTACAATTCAGGCCTTTTCCTCCTTTGTTAGGCATATCCCAAACATCTTGGTGCACTACACAGAGAAATACAGGGCAAGTAGACAGTGCACACAAAATTAGGGGGCCAAGTCGTGGAGCAACACCATGTAATACACACTCACTTGCTGTTCAGGGTACATTGGGGGGGGGGGGCCAGCTGCTGCCTTCTCCCTTACTCATACTACTCCATATCGCCTCATACGTAAGGTCAATCGATTTTGTGATAATTCTAGGCTAATTTAAGCAACATGTCATTGAGCACAATAACATGGCCTTGTTGCAGACACTGTACTGTATATTTGATGTCTTTATTTCAGAACACACATGATCAGCGCTCTCTAGCACCAGGCTCCAGCAATGCAGTTAGACTGTCTCGTTCTTTTGATAAAGTTATTGAACGTCAGCAGACAACAACCTCGAGGACAGATGGAGGATTTTCATACCTAGAAAGGGAAAGTTCTATGTACAGAAGAAACAAAAGTACATCCTCACATATTGTTATTGGCTAGCTGGCAGCTGTACAGAATTATTATTTGAATAAGATTTGCTTTTCATTTTTTCATACAGAAATTATTTATTTATTTGTTATTTGGTTAATAATGAAGGAAAAGTTTTTATGGTTTAAATAAATATTATAGTAGATGTATTTGAGAATCATTACAAAGTACAGGTACTACAGTACATACACATTCCATGCTAATATGGCAAGTGGAAAGAATTGAGATCATACAGTATTAAGTTACTTTCAGGAAATACTGTGCTGTATACACACATTACTATATTGGGATTTTCCGATCAAAGTTATGCAGCTTTTGGACTACTGTATTGTAATTTACGGAGGGCACGGCAAAATATTTATGAAAATTGTAAATGTTTATTACAACTTTTTGCATTAAAATAGTCAATTTCAAATGAATTCTTGTTATTGTTCTCCATTGTACTATTATATCTCCATATAGTTCTGACACTCATAAAAAATGATGAAACAAATTATATGGACTTAAGCTGATGACTGTTTAGCCATTAAGATATTCTGAAAAATTAAACCTCGACTTCAATACTGTAGTACAGTATATTGTACAGTAAATAATCTATTTTACCAAAGATTTGAACATTCTAAATATGCAATCTGAGCATTATAGAATACAGTAGTATTCATCTTATTTCACACAAATGTTTATTCCATTATGTTTTGACCTTAAGATTTATTTTTATTTTCTTTGCACATTCTGTAATATGATTGTGTGTGCATGTATAAAAAAAAAAAAAAAAAAAAAAAAAATTTTACCCCAAATTAGGAGTTGAAAAATAACCATAACATTCTCCGACCTCAGCCTGTTAAGGGGATGTGGTCGACTCCTGGGTGTGCCTGATTTTAATTATTGCCGGGACCCAAATTCATATAAGCAGGAGAAGCTTCCATAACATAAGCCCATACTCGACCTTATCCTAAATTCCAGCTGGTTTGTTTACATGGTGCAAACACGGAAGTCACAGCAGCTTTGATCAATGACCAATAAGGAGTCTTGATTCCAGCCGGGTATTACTCTGCCCCCACAATAACCTCATACAAACACAAAAGGAAGAGAATTGAGGTTTAATTGATAAAAGGAAACAAAGTGCTAATTGTAATAAATAAAAGTATAAATTGTGCAATAACTCAAATTGCAAAGTGCCTAGATAAAGCACTGTACTAATGGTTCAAGCAACAAAGGAATTCCAATTTCTGGATGAGTGCTTTGTGATAAAACTAAGGAGTTTAATGAGGAACTGAAAATTCCACAACACTGGTTTCCTCATGGGCTGACTTCAAATGTGACTTAGCACTCCCATCCACATACTACCAGGCAGTCTTACAAGCCAGCCTTCTCAGCTGACGACCTCCAGTCATCTCTCAAGTAACCTAAATTCTCCACACCTCCAAACTTTTTTCAATTCAAAATTCCTCACTAGCTGAGTCTTGTAAATCTACACCTTTAATGTACATAATTACCACATGAAATATGAGACTACACTATATATATAAATACAGTGGTCCCTCGGTTAACAAACACAATTCGTTCCACAGAGTCGTTCGTTAACCGAATCCATTGTTTCAATGGGATATTGGGTAATTGGTTCCAGCTCACAGAAAAGTACATACTGTACAAAGTAAAAAAAAAAAAAAAAAAACGCAGTACACTTACTTCGAGGTGTGTATGTAGAAGGTTCCTTGTTGATGATGATGGGAAGTAGAAGTGGGGGTGGAGGAGAAGAGAAGGAAGTAGGGATGGAGGAGAAATCACCTTTCAGGGGACCCATGCTTGATGCAGTAACTTCACCAATAAAGTTTAAAGTTCACTCGGTGTAATTCAAGATTATTTTATTTAAATCAACACTGCACTGCACTATATATTATCAATATGTTAACTAAATTTCAGAATGACTAATAATTTTCATGTAAAAATGCAAACATATTCAAGACACCAACAAAATCGATGTTCACTCCACTGTAAACAAAGCCACTGGAGCCTGGTGGGTGAGTCAAGTGGCTGATGGTAACACAAAAACCTAGTTCCCTGTACAGTACTGCATATATTATCAGTATGTTAACTAAATTTTAAAACGACTACAATAATTTTAATATAAAAAATGCAAAATATTAAAGAGCACAACTTTCTTGATATTTACTCACTGGAAGCGAATGTAAACATAGAACAGATTACTGAAATGGCAGACTAGCCCATCAGCTGATCAGCTGATGCTCACAACAAAACATGTTTGTCGTAGGATTTTAGATTATCAGTTTGTTCGATTAACCAGTTGAAGATCCTTATGGGAGGGAATTCGTTAACCAAAATTTCATTAATCGAACCGTTCGTTAACTGAGGGACCACTGTATATACAGTATATATATTACTGTATATCTTATTACATGAGAGTAAATGAGGAGAAATTGGAATTCAGGCAACTAGCTGAATTACGAGTCTACTGGCCGTCATGTGCATTTCAGGAGTAAGATGTATGGTGATTTTAGAACGATGAAACATTGAGAGATTATTTGTAGACTTAATAACATTGCAAGTTTTAGAGAAGATTAAAAGAAGCAAGCATACTGGTAGTAAATTAATGGCACTGTTTAGCATACAGCGTTTTCATTATTACAGGTGCTCCTCTACTTAAGATCATTCGACTTACAAACTTTCAGAGATACAAACATCATCATTGAGGGGGGTTACCTTCCAGAACAGGTGTTTAAAGTGGATGAGACTGGATTATTTTGTAGAAAATTCCAGATAGAACAAACATTACCTAAAGCCCCGTCCACACGATCGAGCCGTGTCCGGCGGGCTTGTGTGTTGTTGTACACACGGGGGTGGTTGGCGGCAGTCATAGTCGGGCGCCGGTAGCTAGTAGGTGGTCGGCAGTGGCAGGTGCGGTATGATCACCATGGTGTGTCGCAGGAATAATCGCCGGACAGTTAAAGCGAAGAGCATAGCGTTGTGTACTATAATAGGTGCTGCTATGTGCAAAAAGAAGAACCAAATGCAGAAAAGTGAATGGTGCAAAGAGTGGTTAGGTCAAAGAAAAGTATTGGGAAGTCATGCCACAATTTTAGTGAACTGCAAGATGGACATGAGCAAGACTTCACCAATTACATGAGAATGGACCCCAACACCTTTTACAAACCTCTAGCGAAAGTGGAACCATATATAAAAAAAACAGGCGGGCCATGATTTCGCTCAACGATGGGCACGGGCACTCCGCTGGTTTGCCCGATAATGGGCATTTAGCGCTTGCCCTTAAGCACTGCTCGATCTTGTGGACGGGCCTTAAAATGAAAAGAGTGAGCCAGGTTTTACGGCTGTATTAAAGGGTATTGCTGTACTAAATATCCATAATCTTTACATTTTTTACAATATGTTTGGTATCTACAGGAGTAAAGTTGGACTTACAAACTAGCCTCAGGGCGTAAGTTGTTCATAAGTAAAGGAGCACCAGTATTTATGGGAAAAAAATCATAACTTTGGGGTTTTTATATGTTAATCAAAGTGTGGAACAAAAATTTTTTTTTTACTGTTAATTTTTTTTGTAAATTGGGGTCTGCCTGTACAAGCTAATTCATATTTTAGTTGCAATCACTCATATGAATGCTATTCAACTTGTCCCTTTCAACAGTGATGTTGATTCTTTAATCCGTTCAGTGCTCTCAGCACTTTAGGATTTTATTCTGGCTAATGCTAGATGATTTTACTTGGATTACAGAAAACCTTTAGCATTGAGAAGGTTTAAAACCTTTCAATTTCCTGAGCTGACCTACAACAAATAAATACAGGAAATATTCTTCCTGTTCTGCACTTACCTGAATTTAGTTTTGCTGATTAACCGTTGAAGTTAATTAACCATAGGAATATCCTGGTTTATAAAAGGGCTCCATTCCTAAAATTAATTTCGTATATCGAAGCACACCGGTGCTTTACTTATTATCATTCCTACAAAAAAAGAACAGAAAGAGATGAAAATATTTTATATCATTGTTAGAATACACAATGATTATAAGACAATAATAAATACAGTAAGTGAAACACACCCAGTACAGTACTGTAATAATCTTGTACTTACCAGCAACCAGATGTGATTAAAGCGTTGAAGAGTATGAAGTTTAAGCCAACATCTACCCGGTATATTATATCATCAAAGTAACATATAATAATTAACAAAATCTTCAGAATACACAAACAAAATAAATAATACTGTACCCACAGGTATGATAAATGCATATTCATATGTAATACCAGACAACATGGTTCAGTGAGCCATTTACATTAGGATATACTGTACTCGACTCTCCTTTATGGTACTGTTGTTTCTTCATATGTTCGTACAGAACAGTACAGTACTTCCATCAATGTGTGGGACATTTTTTCCCCACCTGTAACTGAGAGTTTTTGTAAATTAGTGTCTACCTGTAAAGTATTTCTGAACTTGAGCCATTTTCTTGGTACAATATTGCAAGTGTTCTAAGTGGGGAGGAGAGAATATCGTTCTAACTGAGCAATAGACCAACCAGAAATGACAAAATGACCTTACACTCTACAGTGCAGGTGAACCAGTCAGCCAGGTGTGCCTACTTTCCACCAGTGTGTGTGTGTACAGCACAAGGAGCAACAGATAAAAATAAAAATTCGATTTTTTTTAGAAGTGCAGTAAAACTGAGGTGCAAAGCTTGAGTCCATCAATAGGTCTAACTGAATGAAAGTTATAGCAGCCACACTGGGACTTGCTGCTCTGCTCTAAACATGGTCTTCTTCACTGTCAAATGGAGCAATACAGTATTTAATCTTAGCTTCAAGGTTCATATCTGACATTTTAGCATTACTCAAGATCAACTTATCGTATATCTCGCCTACAAGACGGAATTGAACAAAAAAACAGCCCAAAGTTAGGGTCGTTTAAGCACCAGAGATAAAATTTTACTCTTAAATTTTATGGTTTAGCGGTCAAGAGTGGTGATGGAAACATGGTAAACCACTCACAAGGTCCTACCACTAATTATTTTATACTGAAACTTACATTTGGGAAGCTGGATAAAATGAAGATACCGTATATTAAAATAATAAAATGTATTATAAACCAGTCTAACATACCGTAAAGAACAATATACCCTGTAATAAACACAGCTGCTATCATCACCCCATTTGCCAGTAAAAAGGGACCTTGACAGTGACTGCCTGTGGCTATTTTTAGCCGTCCTTTGTTCGAGGTGGTCAGTAATGCATATCTGTATATTTACTGATCATAATATTTATCTCCTATAAATAATTAATTTAAAATTAATAAAGAATATTCAGTAATGATCATGTTAATTCTTGAAACTACCGAAAATTTAGGATGAGAATGATTAACAGAAGTCACGTCATGGATTCGAGTTTGGTCCTTAATGATCATAAATGTTCGTCAACTTCACTACCAGGTATAATGGTAGCCCTTTTCGCTAAAACAAGATATAATTAAAGAAAATACTTGCAGTGTTTAATATTACAATATATTATAGCTAAATAAAAACAAATAAATCCAAATCTATTTCAAGTAAATGGAAATATTTTACTCACACCAACATTAGTTCCAGTTAAATAACTGACGCTTATGAGTCACTAGTACAACAGCGGGTAAAATTTGATGCCAATACTTATGAATTGGCATTATTTTAAATAACCAACCATAAATAAATGGAAAAAGATCAAATGAAACATTATATTGTATGTATGTTGTGTTGTCAAAAGAGAAACAATTGAAACTCAGCAATTGTGTGTAAATGAGGCAGTAAGATAAATCAGCAACCAAGACTTGGTCACAATTTCGTGATGCCATATGGAAGTAGGGTCTACCATTAGACAATACTGTACATAATGCTTCAATATCTTCCCAGGCAGTAGAATCTCTGTTGGTTGCCAAAACTTTTAGTAATATTATTACAACATGATAAATTTGACAAACAATGAAAATAAACAAACAAAAGTATTTACCAAGACCTTCTCTCAGAACAGAGAGATAAGACGGCTATTTATAGCCCGTCTTTGTAGGAAGTCGACCACACTAGAAATAATTCATTTAAAATTTATATTTTTACATAGAATATTCAGTACATGACTGCAATTATAAAATAGAATATATATATATTATAAATATATATATATATATATATATATATATATATATATATATATATATATATATATATATATATATATATATATTTGTGTAATAAATGTAGTAGTAAGTATGTACAGTAATCTTTTTCACCAAACTTAATGAAACACTATTGAATTAATTGTAGTCATTAGCAAGCTTAAATTAAAGAAAATACTTCCAGTGTGTTTAATATATTACAGTATGATATAAATAAACAAATAAATCGGTAAATCCATTTTAAGTAAAACAATTGTATTCATACCGACATTAGTCAGTTAAATAACAAACTTTAAGAGTCACTAGTGTTTACACTACATCAACCGGTAACTTGATGCCTTACTTGAAGTGAATTGTTATTTAAACCAAGGATGTTAAACAGCACTGGTCAATGATGGTTGAAAGGACTATCAGTAAGTCCCAATGGTAAGTGTCACATTTGGAGTGGTCTTATACAGCTAATAGGCTCAAAAGCTACTTTTAAATGGAAATTTTAGTCTTTTATACACCCGTCGCCTAGGCCGAGATATACGGTATTCATGAAGCAAAATGTCAACCAAAAATCAATTAACAAAATGCCATTCCCAACAACAACAAAATTTGTAGTTATCAGACAGCATAACAATATTGTTTTCTTAATCCGAGGTATTCCTCCAAACAGTTTTTACTTTCTTAACAAGTGTAGTTTTAAATTACTTTGTACTGTAATTTACAATACAATACAGTTATGTAGCTATTCATTATTCACAATTTATAATGTTTATAAAGTGGTACTGAAATCTTTGAACCATTATTGATACAGTACTGTGTCTACTTTATACAGTACAGTAATCTGTACAAACACATCTACAATACATTACCAAATTCAATATACAGTGATCCCTGTTAACGAGCTATTTGGCTCATTCCATAAGATTTTAACCTCGTTAATGAGCATTGAACGACCTCACGAGCCTCAACATGTTCACAATTAGCCATCACAGTAATGTTTGTACTATTCAATAATTTAAGTCTTATATTAAATTTTTGTCATTTTAACAATTATTTAACATAATTTAAGTACAGGAAACTAGTTTTATAGTGTTAAACAGCCTGTCAACAACCAGCCAGGCCAGTCCTGTGTCTTCAGTGGAGGTAAGATTTTTGCTACAGACTCTCAACATAAATGCATTTTGTGTTTCCAGTCATTTGACGAACTAAAATTTATGGGTAGCTGCCATGGGGTGACTTTCCACCCCACTTTCCTTTCTCCTCCACCCCCATTCTAATTCCCATCATCATCATCATCCAGGAGCCTTCTACATACACACCTCAAAGTAAATGTACTTTACTACCTTTTTTGTTGACTTTAGGCAATTTTCGGTGAGCTGGAACCAATTACCCAAAAACCCATTGAAACAATGGTTTCGGTTAACGAGCAACCTTCTAGAACAAATTGTGCTCGTTAACCGAGGGACCACTGTAATGAAACACATCAAGTTTCACAAGAAAAATATCACTTGGATGTTTTAAATAAATCTCAGGTTTTCTGAATCACAGACAAAAATTTTAATAAAAAATTTATTGTAGAGATGAATGACTAAACCAAATTATGAGATGTTGCATTCTGTAGTCATTAAAAATAAGTAAAACTAAAAATAACAATTTAAGATAAAAATAAACAATTATCCTCAATTTATTCCTGAGACACACAGTGAATCAGACTCTTACTTGAAGGCTTCATAAATATACTTTTCACCTCATTCATCACTAAGTTTCCATCACATAATCTTCTGCAGTAGTTGTCCCACTGTGTACAGTCTCTTGTGGTTCATCTGACTCACACTAAAAGTTATTGGATATATGGTCTCTCCATTTTCTGTCTTCCACAGTGCAACTATAAATATTCATCAACCCATAATCCATTTTACACACACAGTACAATGTCAATTTACTGGACTAATTATTGCATATACAGTGGTCCCTCGGTTAACGAGCACAATCCGTTCTAGAAGGTTGCTCGTTAACCGAAAAATTCATTAACCGAAACCATTGTTTCAATGGGTTTTTGGGTAATTGGTTCCAGCTCACCGAAAAGTGCCTAAATTCAACAAAAAAGGTAGAAAAGTACACTTACTTTGAGGTGTGTATGTAGAAGGCTCCTGGATGATGATGATGATGGGAATTAGAATGGGGGTGGAGGAGAAGGGAGAAGAGAAGGCATTGGGGTGGAAGAGAAGTCACCCCATGGCGCCATTTCACCCATAAAATTTTAGTTCTCTCGGTGTAATTCAAGATTATTTTCTTTAAATCAACACTGCACCGCATTTATATTGTCAATATGTAATATAAATTTCAAAATGACCAATAATTTGCTTGCAAACACAGAAGAAAAGCATTTAGTTGAAGAGAGTCTCAAGCAAGATGTTACCTCCACTGAAAAGACACAAAGACCGACGCCTGTATGCTGTGTTGGCAGGCTGGATGGTGAGCCACAAACTAGTGACCCTTCCTTCAATTATGTTCAATAATTGTTAAAATGACTAAAAAATTTAATATTAAACTTTTAAAATTATTGAATAGTATAAACTTCTTGATATTTAGTAAACGGGTAAGGAATTTAAGCCTTAGAACCGATTACTGTAGTGGCGGACTAATACTACAGCTGGTGGACCGCCAAATACAAGCTAAAACATGTGGAGGTCGGCTCGTAAGAAACTCGTTAATCGAGGGATTGCTCGTTAACCGTAATTAAGAATCTTATGGAAGGTGACTCGTTAAACGAAATCTCGTTAACCGAGGGACCACTGTACTATACTGAGGGAATTCTATATAGTGAAGCTTTTACCATTTTTTATCTCCAGGTACAGTACTGCACAATATAACCTCTAACTATAATGTATGGGGCACACATTGTCCCACAATGTGAAAAAATCACTGATTAGTTTTTACTTTCATCCAAAATACACCCTACTGTAGTTAATTATACAGTAGTATTAACATAATAATAATCATTTTAATGTTAATCAGAGGAGAGTCATGAGTGAATGCATTTGTACACCTGAGTAGTATTGTATTCTTAATGGTAATTTATGGAATACACAAAATAACCCATTAAAAATGTACAGGAAACCCCTGCACATACAGTACTTTACTTTAGTCAGCGAGTCATTGTGAACCACAATGTGTGAGGTTGAGAGCAATAAGAGAGGTGTTGGTAGCCTTCCTCCCTCATTCTCATCATATGTCCTACACTATTCATTAGTCTGACAACTAGCTGTAATAATTGTTTGATTATTAGTTTCACTGAATAAAATACTTTACCAAACATAAAAAAGCCTATTTGTGTACAACATTAATACCACTTGGTAACTCTACTACTGTACAGTACTTTCACACACAACATAATATATCTTTAGAATTAACCAAAATAAAGACAAAAGACAGTAGGGATTTAATGTGGTTTCCTCAATGATATTTTATTCCACCCGATGAAAAAATAAGAAATTAAGGAAATGGTAAAATTTTCACCACAGTAACTGGTATAAGCCATGGATGGGAGGCCACTGCTGACCTGCTCCTTCCCAACTACTAACCTTGCACACTTATGCCTTTTATGGCTGAAAATAATAATATTTTAATTGAATAATTTTTTGGGAATAGTAATAAAAATACAGACTACAGCTCCATAATCTGATTGCCATCAAAGTTTAATATGTTAATACTTCACAGTTTAACATGATGGTACTATTTCCTCCAGTAAGCTGTATCTGCACCAAACAAAAATTATTGTTTAGAAGATGTACAGTACAGTATGTCTGTTGAATACAAATATATTAACACATGTATATATAACTAACCATACTAATACATTTCCAACATTGTATTAACTGTTCATTAATACAGGATATAAATTAATATTTTTCATCAATTTAGACTTAAAAATAAATTGAATTAAGATATGTAATTATAAATCTACATATTATTTGGCTGCCTGACAACAGGCATTTGTGTTTGTCAGTTGTGTATCTGTGTACAGCCTCACCCCTACACTCTAATAACCCTGCACAAGCTTACTAATATCCCCTCCAGCTTATTCGTATTAAAAAATATTGGGACGTATAAATTACTTTTTTTTGGTAAACAAAGAAACCAGATATACTGCATAATGACATTTAACTCTTAACCAGCAGCTAAGTATTCCCTACTGCCCCACATGTGTGTGTGTGTGTGTGTGAAACACAAGGAAAATGAAACTTCCCAATGATGGTAACTGTTCCTACAACTAACTTCCCCTGGTGATGGTAACTTTCCCTACAACAAACTTCCCCTGATGATGGTAACTGTCCCTACAACTAACTTCCCCTGATGATGGTAAAGGTCCCTACAACTAACTTCCCCTGATGATGGTAACTGTCCCTACAACTAACTTCCCCTGATGATGGTAACTGTCCCTACAACTAACTTCCCCTGATGATGGTAACTGTCCCTACAACAAACTTTCACTAATGATGGCCACTGTTTAAGGGTTAAATGATCCATACAATATCTAGCAGCCAAACTGTTCTGTTTGTCCAACACACAAGTCATACAGCCTCATAACAGAGATTATATATTCACTCAGTTTTGACCATTTTTGTATTACTTTTGTCAAAATGTAATTAAAGGAGAATCTCCCGTCTGTTCTTGCAATGTTTCTGATGTGCAGGTGTCCAATAACTTAACATACAGTACTTCTGTATTGTATTTCATACATACAGTATATTTAATCATAATGACTCACCCTGTATTAAAGTATATTAAGGCCACAGTTTTCAGCGTCAGTTGTTACACGTCATCTAAAGTTTTTCTGTTGTAATTTTGTCTCCCAGCACATCTGTTAAACATCATGTATTCCTACAGTCACATACAAGTCACCATCTGTTGTATCTTCCTTCTTAGACTCATCACTGTCCTCTATTCCAACTTTAACAAATGCATAATTGTCCAGGTCTTCTTCCTTCACTTTCAAACCTTGGTCTGGATTTTCCCACGACAAACCCTCATTACAGTAAACTTCTTCTTCTTTTACAATTTCATCAATTTCCTTGATTTTTCCTTGAAGTTCTTCATTAAATCCATCACTGTCTGAATTTTCTTCCTTTATAGGTATACCAAACACTTGCCATCCTTTACTAGAGACGTCAACATGAATGTTGTGTTTGTGAGTACAGGTATTAGGCTGGACCTGAAACACAAAAATATTTGTAGTGACCTTAACAGATAAGAACTGCTAGGTACTGTCTCCTCTTAACATATATCCTACAATTAGCATCTCAATTTGTCCCTTGAGCACTGATGATATGACTCAGGTAAAAGTAAAACATACTTTATTGCAACAATTCACCCCAAAAAGTAAATGTTCTCTCTACAATTTGTAATGTTAATTGTAATAAAGTTAATTCAATACAATATTGTACCATTAAATTTTGATTCAAGAACTGACATCCTTGTTTACAGACAAATACAATGTACTGTATATATGACTCCTGCTCCCACCTACAGTAGTCTGAAATCTCAACCATTAATGCATTACAGGTATCCCTCGTTTAATGGACAATAACTTAGCGATATTTGTGTTTACAATATAATACTTTTAACACCCTCTCTTGTTTAAAGCTGTTTAGCGATGTTCGACTCACTGCGTATAGCTTGGGAGGGAAGTCGGAAAATCTCCCAAGTGCGCATCAATACAGTACTGTACTGTACTGTACTATAATGCAGCTTAGAAATAAAGAAAATATAATGTAAAACTATACAATAAGAAAAATGAAGAGCCTGTGTGGGAAGTGAACGTGTGTATTGAGACAGTGAGCTGTCAGTGAGGCCAGCCGCACTCTCCCTCCCCCTATGTAACATCACGGCCTACACAGCCAGCAGTCACACACGTCTCTCGAGTCAGCCGAGTGACTGCCAGGCTGAACTGTGTCGCATGTATACTGTACCAGTTAATGTGAGGAATACATAATAATAATAATAAAGTACTGCCTTACCATTTGGCAATCATTTCACTCCACACTGGACAGGGGCTGCACACAGCTGGCAGCTCTCCCACCTCCCCCACTCTGTGTGTTATTCCCGCACTAGAAGAAACTTTTAGTCCCTTCATGTTTTTAAGTTTGGGGTGAAATTTCAGTCACGCACCGGTCTTTCTCTCGCTGTTGTTAATATGTTTCTCATAATGTTTAGACAATTTTAAGACCTTTTTCTTCTATGTTATTTCCACCGGAAATTAAGGATAACCGAGATATTAATTTTTCAATGTTATTAGAGTTGGTCAGTCAGTCATAAGTGTCGCCATTTGTTGTTTACGTCTCACAGAGAAGGTCTGACCACCCATAACGCAGTGCTCCTTACCTCCGTGTTGGCTTCTTAAGAGTCTACAGTGCATATGCAGGGGCTTCTTATTGGCCATAACAATAGGAGACATAATTGGGCAAGAGTTTTTTGTCTTAGCCAATGAACAATGCGTGGGTGCGTTGGGAGCGGAGATTTTATTTTTCAATACCAAAATAACCAGATATGGTTGAACAGGTGGAAAGAGCTGTGCCGACATTGTGACAGAGATTATTTTACGTCAATTGTAGAGTTTCATCAGAAAAACAGTGTTAGGTTAGGTTAGGTTAGGTCAGGTTTGGTTAGGTTGATATTTTATTTATATGATTTAGTTGAAAAAAAATTTTTTTGTAAAGATTGATGGGTAAGGGGGAGGGGGATCTAAAAAACTATTGATTTCTGGCTGAAATGAAAACCAAATTTGTTCGAAACTCATCAAATAACACCGGAAAAACATATTTTTAATATCCAAACAAAGACCGGTGCAGAAGTGAAATTTGACTTCTTTTTTTTTTGGCATACTCTGTATGAACGATTATGAGCATAAAAAATCTACATGAAATTACAAGTTGAACAATAACACAGCTCAGAGCTCAGCCTCACCTGCTGTGAGTGCTACTGGGTGGTGAGTTGGTGGATCCCTATTGTTAAACGAGGAATACCTGTACAGTATTAGGAGTCATTATACAAACACTCCTTTCATCTTGGATGATACAATGTAACTGATCTATTAACAGCTTATCTCATGTATTACAAAATACAGGAATTCAGAATACTCTTCCTACAGTATTACAATACTGTTCTTATATTGAACCTTTATATAGAAAATTATTAAAACATTCACCCTTTCATTTACCTGGTGTAAAAAGTCACACTTTGAGCCAAATAAAAAACAATTGCCCAAGATAAATAAACAATATGTGTAGTGTCAATATATAACTGTACAAGGTAAAGTGACTACTGTACTGTACAACACTTACCAGCACTTCCTTGTCAAGTGTTTCCTCTCTCTGGCTTTCTGATGTTTTCTCTTTTGATCCTTTTCTCTTTGTTCTTGGTCCACTTTGTTGTTCATCTGGAAAAATAATATATCAATTAATGATAACTTACAGGGCATTACTTAATGGGCCCAACCCTGCTTCCTCAATATATATATATATATATATATATATATATATATATATATATATATATATATATATATATATATATATATATATATATATATATATATATATATATATATATATATATATATATATATATATATATTATATATATATATATATATATATATATATATATATATATATATATCTTGTGTGTGATATGTAATATATATATATATATATATATATATATATATATATATATATATATATATATATATATATATATATATATAGTTTAACGAGCATACTCGGTTACTTGAAATTTTAGGTTAACGAACTGCCTTCCATAAGGATCTTCAATTCGGTTAACGAACAAAAATTCGGTTAACGAATTTCTTATGAACCGACCTCAACATGTTTTCGCTTGCACTGGCCGGGCAACCAGCTTTAGTATCAGTCCGCCAATACATTAATCGGTTCTAGGGCTTAAATTCCTAACTATTTTAGTAAATATCAAGAAGTTTATACTATTCAATAATTTTAAAAGTTTAATATTCAATTTTTTAGTCATTTTAACAATTATTGAACATAATTGAAGGTAAAGTGACTAGTTTAAAGTGCAGCATCCAGCCTCTTAACACAGCAAGCAGGCGTTAGTCTCTCTCTGTTTTCACTGGAGGTAACATCTTGCTTGAGACTCTCTTCAACTAAACGCTTTTCTGTGTTTCAAAGCAAATTATTGGTCATTTTGAAATATATTTTACATATTGACAATATATAATGCAGTGCAGTGTTGATTTAAAAAAATAATCTTGAAAATACACCAGAGAACTAAAATTTTATGGAGTTGAAATGGTGCCATGGGGTAACCTCTTCCACCCCAATGCCTTCTCTTCTTCATACTCCTCCACTTTAGTATAATTCCCATCATCATCATCCAGGAGCCTTCTACATACACACCTCAAAGTAAGTGAACTTTTCTACCATTTTTGTTGAATTTAGGAAATTTTCGGTGAGCTGGAACTAATTACCCAAAAACCCATTGAAACAATGGTTTCGGTTAACGAACGACCTTCTGGAACGGATTGAGTTCGTTAACCGAGAGGTCACTGTATATACAGAATATATAAAAATAATGTTGTATGCTGATGGCTTACTGGTGATACTATTAAAGAGGCAGTGGATACAGTTGGGAAATGGAAGGATAAAATAGAGGCAGGGGCCTGAGAGTGAACGTGGCAAAACAAAGAGTGTGGGTGAGAAACTCTTGGTGGAGAGTGGAAAATGGCCATGAGCTGCCGGCAACAAAGGTGTTGGCAGTGACTCAATAATGTGCAACAAGTGTGGAAGGTGGGTACACAAGAGGTGTTGTGGCAGACTATGGGATGTTGCTGACTTTAATTGTTCTCTATGTGCAGGTAACCATGTGCCCATAGCAAGACTGGGGAACTAAACATTGTGTATATGTTGATGTGTTCTGTTACCTGGGTGACATGATCAGTGCTGGTGGGGGTGCTGAAGCCTGCTCAGTTGCAAGTGGCTGTTGCAGGAAGTTTAGGGAGCTGCTGCCTTTATTGATGACAAAAGGACCTTCCCTCTGAGTGAAAGGATGATGTATGTGGTTGGTGTGAGAAGTGTGATGTTGTATGGCAGTTAAAGATGATGACATAAGTACTGCAGACTTGAGCCAGCCAAAATGAGAATGCTGAGGTGTATGGAACTGAGAAGCTGTCTATCAACTTGGTTTTATTCAATGTGCAAGTGTTATATGCTTTATATTAAACCTAAATATGTGTGACTAATTTGGTGCCAACATTCATGGTGTATTACAGTAGCTAGGTCCAGGAGACACCAAGCACTTCAGCTTTACCTTCTAAAAGTTTATTTTTTAATGACCTTAACTTGTACAAACTTAACTTTTGGTTAAATTAAAATACTGTATTGGCTTTTATATACAGTACAGTACTATATGACCACAGTACTGTAGTTATATTTACCTTGATCCTCAGTTTGTATTTGAGTCACATCTTGTGTCAATATCTTTCTCTTTCTTGTTTTATTTGCTGGTCTGCCCTTATTGCTCCCAGGAGGTACACCATCTTCTGAGGTTGATGGAGTTGTTGGTCCAGCATCTGGCTGTTGTCTGTAAATACAGTAATAACATTCTCTTAAATCACACATAACTCTTCCATTTTTCATAAACATTTAACAATAGTTTTTTGCTGTGGTAGCAACTCCACACATGAATATTATGACTCACTTACTGATGGCATACAGTTGTACAGGTACTTAGACTCTTAATTACATTTATTTTTATTAATAAAATATAATTATGGTTTTTGCACATCGGGTTGGTGTATCTTCAATAGTGTTTCAAATTCCTCTCTTGTCAAGGAATGTGCTAGTATTAGTGTACATGACATTCAAGCCAGAATTTGGTCTCGGTAACGTCTCTGACCTTGGTAGTAACTCCGGCCCCTCCATTCTCAGAAGCTACAGCATTTGCTAAGTTCACTGTATTTTGCAGGGTGTGGTTAGAAATGTCATTGCTTACACGGTGCTCGCCTCCCCCTGGCTGGGAGGTGGAGATGGTGCCTCCTGGGTGAGGGGTAGAGCGGGTGGAGGGTGTGCCGCTGCCCCCTGACTCTGTGTCGGAAATTTTGCTTCCACTACCCTCCCCCTGGATATAACCCATGTACACCCGTACCCATTCCTACTTCCTCTTCTGCTTCAAGCCCTATAGAAGTTTCTTGTGCTGTTCCCTCTGCATTACCATGTGATCTGGGTGAATGAATACATTCCAAAATACCTCGCTCCTTGCTAAGTTTTTTGCCTGCCAAATAACCCCCCATTTCTTCTACTCACTCACTACTGTGATCCTGAGGGGGAGAGGCTTGTCTCCCTGCTTTTGTAACAGCCTCCTCACATCCTGAGGGTGGGATGGCATATTCAGAACCTCTGTACAAATACAGCTCCTCTCCGACTTACGACGGGGTTAGGGACCGACATCCAGGTCGTAAGTCGAAATGGTTGTAAGTCAGAAATGCTTAAATAATACATAGAAAATCTAAAGTGGGGGTCTCTTTTTCTTCTCAGCACCACAAAACACTCACTTTTAAGCTTGCCAGCCATTTTAAAGTGAATTACAAATGAAAATTTTGTCTGTGTACTGACTTTGGGACTCGAAAATACGAAATTTGACAAAATTTTGGTACGACTGAGGCAGGTCGTAAGTGCGGGTGGTCGTAAGTCGAGTAGGTCGTAAATCGGGGAGGAGCTGTATTTTAAAACCGCATCTCATCGTCTGTTGCCCGACTCTCAGTTTTCTCCGACTGGCTCTCAGGGAATCCATAAACTATTATGTTGTTCCTGCGCTGAAACGTTCCCGTTGTTCCTCTTATCCCCTAACAGTAGGTCCACTAGTTGCCATCTCTTTGACACACTTCTTCAGAGTCCCTAGCTGCTGTAGAACCTGTTCTGATCCTGCATTCTCTCCCCAACCTCCAGTGGCCCTGTTAAGGCCTAAGCATAACTCCTCTTCACTATCCCCTCCATTCTATCGGTTACTTCCTCAGTCTTAGCAAGGATCTCTTTCCCAACTTGTTCAAATTTGGCAACCAGCAAGGATCCAGCTTCATATATTTTCGTCCCAAGGAAACTCGTTCCCCTATGGTTGCAATTGCCTTTTTCACCTTGACTATGCAGTCAGGGTAATACTAGCAACAGTCTTCACGTTTTACGGCAACTTGTATCATCCAAAGTGCTGTATTGGTCAGGTATGTACAATCTACAACCATCGTTGCCCTGCAGTAATCACAAATACAGTACCTTCACTTTTGTGCTGTTCACTACCCATTGTTCTCACAACAGAAATTACGATATTTGTTTTACAGCTGAAATAACAAACACAAGTTTAAAATAAGTAACATCAGTTTGCTTACCTTACCAGTACTGTACATATATTATTTTACTGTACTTGCACATATTTCAAACATGTCCGGGTTATAGTCACGTATGAAAGGCACTGATAACTTGTTTTAGGTTTATTTCAGAGTTATAAAATGAGAAACAAACCAAAATCAACTAAATCACAACACTTTTGGATACAACATGACATTTAATATTTATAAAAAGCAAAGGTAATTATTGAAGCTGATTTTTCATAGAAAGTTAATTTAAAAACACAGCAATTTCACTGTGTTTTATAGTGGACACTGTCGTAGTTATGGCAAACGTGTTTAAAAGTTTTTATATAAAAGTTCAACTTAGCAACCTACCCAAGCATTACTAAACACTTGTTGTGGATGAACAAATAACGAGTCGGCGGTATAGTCATCAATATTAGCCAAATCAAATTGTAACGTCTCTTAGACTTTGCTATATCACACATTACAAACAACAAGTTCTCATTTAAATAAGCATCTTCGTAACCATGACCATGCTGCTTCTGTACCAAGTCACTTCCTTAGTTTCAAATAAACAAGTCCATAGTAGAAGACTCATTCAACACCTGAAGATGATACTGCCAACAAGAAAAAAAATCAAATTTAAATAATAATAATAATAATAAAAAACCCTCGGTGTCTACTTACATGGGCACCGTTGCCTCACTTGTAGTTAAAAGATTCTTAAACTTCTTCATATGTTTTGTTGTCATTCTGTTTCTCTCCATGAGTTCTTTCATTCTTGCTCCTTCTGGGGTGTATCTCAATCCCAACTCCTTATGAAGTCCTCCTTCTGTGTAGCCTATATTCCATTCAAAACATGTAAGATCTGCAGCAAATTTCAGTTTTTCTACTCCTCTGAATCTTTCCTTTTTGTATTTCTGCCAAATCTGACCAGATAGGGACTTACCAGTAACCTGTGTCTTGACTAAGCGACAACGGTTCACAAACTCATCATCAGCCAGCTTCACATAGACCGCAGCTAATCTGTCGCTCATTTCCATTGTAAAATCACGGGAGTTAAGGAGCATATTTGCCTTTTCGTGTGGTGGTGGGGTCTCTTTCCTTGCACGTGCTTTTTGCCAAAAACACCACGAAGCTAGACCTTTTGGGCAACTTAGGTGGCTATCAGGCATGTCATCTGTTGATATACAGTGAAAGTATGAGGATATAATAGCACTCTGCACTTCCCTCACTTTATTTGGGGTCTTTTCTATGCAATCTCTCAATGCTGTTTCACATAAGGACTGAAGATATCCAACAACCTCTTGAGTCAAATCTGGCCATTTCATTTGAACCATTTCATCTTTTACCTTATACAAAGCTGTGCCCAGTTGTTTTATAAAATGGTTTACACAATCTGCTTTTATAACAGGATGTTCAGCATCATAGGGGCCTTCCCCATTGTTCATCTTCATAATATTGTCACAAATTTCAGAGTCCCTATCTGTGAGAAATGCAACATATCTAACTTTGTATCTGTCTAAAGATCTTGAGCACAAACTTTGGGCACCCACTGCTTCAATACCACCCCTTTCACCCGTGTCGTTGAAACCACAGTTACCTTCACGGCACATCTGTGATCGCTCGTGTCCTTTCTTCTTTATACATGCCTGGCAATACTTTGACATACATTCCCAGTCCAATACTATATCACTGTGCAGTTCTTTAACAACAATAACTCCACAGTAGCTTATGTCTTCATGAGTAAGCCAAGAACTTTCATAACTAACATCAATGTCTAAAATGCCACCAGCATCTGGATGTCGACCCATCTCTGTATATACTTTCACAATAGCTTGTTTAGTGTTTACAAACATGGCATCACACTTTTTCTTTAAGGCACTGTGAATGTATCTTATATGTGTCAGCCATGCCTTATACGACATGCCTTTTATTTTCATACTCTCAATGAAATCAAGAAACCCTTTATAGCTAACATCATAACTAGCCAATGTTAGTACTAAACTAAGATTATTTTCATATATTTTTTCTTCATTTTTTGTCTTGTACACATTCATTAGCTTGGGTCTTGTTTCTAGTACAACATTACCACACTCCTTACACCTCACCGACAACAAAATATCAAGGCATATTTGTTTCACCAAAACTTCAACTTCACCATCACAATCTTTACAATGTAGCATTCTTAACGCACTTTTAAGGTAGTCAGCATCCAAAAACACGTTTGTTTTCTGTGTAATCATTTCTGTGCCAGCCTTCTGTACACCCATTAAAGTCTTCCTCAAGGCAGCAGTATTGTGAGCATCACTTAACTGGCATAACACATTATTCTCATCAGTTGAAATCTGTAATGATTGTTTTCCTTTTATATATTTTTCTAGTGTAGGTTGGTTGCTTGTGGGGCTAGTCATCACCATTTCTATTTTCTTAGCAGTAGAAGGATGTATCTCTTGCTGTCGAGTGTCTGAAGATGGGAGTCGAGTGGTAGTGGTGGTCGAGTGAGGTGGTGCAGTGGGAGGAACCACAGATTCACCGTTTCCATCTTTCAATTTCCTAAGATTTCCCCTTAATAGAGATAGTCTCTTTCTCCTTGCTTCCTTTTGCTTTGATATTCGACCCATTTTTGTGTGGAAAAATGACACTATGGGAACCGCCAAGTCAAGCCGACGCTGGAACCATCCTTGGTTGGAACTAAATCATCTTGTCCGATCAGCGTTGGGGCTGGTTAATATTTGGATAGGTGGCCCCCTAGCCCTAAGAACATCAGATGTTCCTGATATAAGGACTCTACTGGAAACAAGCTTCTCGTGGATTTGTCGGCTATGCTTGGTCAAATTGAATGAATATAAGTTATTATTTAGTGGCGAAGGAGATGAAGTAACGACGAAACGTAATAACAACCAGGATGCAGGCGAAGACTGGTGAAGCAGTGTTACCAGGTCTCTTTGGAGATAATGTTAGCGAAATTTTGCTAGTATTATTTAAGCTCATTACCTCTACCTCTTAATTTATTGATTATTATATATTATATGATAATGAGTAAACACGTTACGTATTTTTGGCGAATATTGCATATTATATATATATATATATATATATATATATATATATATATATATATATATATATATATATATATATATATATATATAAATTCCAAATTGAAGAAGCTGCAAGTCCAGAAAACTGAAAGGGCAAACTTTTTCGGAGTGAGGGTTGTGAACTCTTGGCACACTCTACCAGAAAGTGCTGTGACGGCACCGAGTGTGAGCTCTTTCAAGACCAGACTTGACCAACACTGGAGCAGGTTCAGGTACAGTCTCGTTCAAGATTCTTCGAACACTGCTGGAGACAGCTGGCAACTCAAGGCCGTTTGTTTACTATAGTACTTAGTATAATATAATACGAAACAACAAAGCCCAACCATTAAATTAAGCAACGGGGAACTAAGTAACCAATCACCGATTACTTTTACAGTTATTCATAATTTTTACTACGTACTATAGTAAATAAACTGCCTTGAGTTGCCAGCTGTCTCTAGCAATGTTCGAAGAAACTTACGAGACTGTACATTCAGGAGCCGGTGCATGCCCAGTACTTGCCAACAGTGCTTAACAGAGACGTGACCGATCGCCCAAGCGGCTAACGAGCCGATCAGTGGTGAAGAGGATAAAAGAAAAAATTTAAGTAACAGAGACGTGACCGATCGTCCAAGCGGCTAACGAGCCGATCAGTGGTGAAGAGGATAAAAGTGAAAACATGCCAAATGCGTGTAACAGAAGTGACCAACCGTAATTATCAAATATAGTTGTCTTGAAAACAATTGTATTATGATAAGTAAATACCCATATGAAGATAATAAACGCAATGGGTTGGACTACCCGTTAGAGTTTAGACATTCATTAGATAACCCTGCTGATAATGTTGTCACGGAAAACTGAAATTTATTGTTGTAGGAAAATGTCTTTTGCCCATTGATCTGAGCATCGCAGCAGACGGGTCCAACTTATTAGGCTGTAAGTTACTGGAACTTGCAGCACAATTTCAAAATTGTAACAAATTTCTCTTATGAGAGGCGTTGCTAAATTATGAACTACGCTAAAATAATATTATTATCGGCAAAAAAATATGCTATATCTGGTAACACTGTGGAAGGCGGGAGCCGCCGCGGCTCCTGCTGGGAGGTGCTTATTTAGTAGTTTTATTCAATACTTGGTGAAAAAGTTTCGAAATTCAAAAGTAACACAGTGAAATTAACCCCGGATACACAGCACTGCTCTCCTAAGGCCACCTAGATAGAGAAGACCTGGGGTGGGGGTTTGATGACGTTGTAGTGGACTTCTCCCCTACAACTGCGAAGCTGCATCCCACCTGCGACGCCTTCCTTAGCAACCAAGCGAGCGGCGACACCAGATGTCACGGTATCCTAGCAACGGAACTAGAGACCGGCGACTTTCTCCGGTTTTCCCAACATGACTCATAGAGGACTCGCGGCTGCTGGGTATATAAGCTCTGTCTCTCCATTGAGATTGTTTCTCGCCTCACTTCTACAACACGCAACACCTCCTCCTCCGCCGCTGCCTGGCGGCCTTCGCTTCTCCTCGCCTGCCTGGCGGTCTTCGCTCCCGCCAGCGAGCATGGCGACCCACCAGCTGTCCTTCTCTGAGCTTCCTCACCAACCAACTCTCATTCTGCCCATCTTCTTGAACAAGCAACACCTCCTCCAGCAAGCTCCACGCTGTCAGCATTCATTCAACCAGGAGGCCAGCAACAGGCAACATCTTCTCTAACGAAGCTCCTGCACATCTACCTCCTTCAACACGCTACTCACCGAACGTCTCTACTGAGCAGCACCCTCACCACACGGCACCTCCAGCACCAGACTGTCTATCATATAACTTATATTATACAAGAAAACCACCTTAGAGTTTCCATCCATCCTGAGTGCTAGACAACATTATACCACGAATTCCTACAACGTCTTTACTTACCTTCTGCCTCAACAGAACTTCATAATAGCTTTAGTACCTTCCTTCTTTCATTACTTTATTACCTTCCTTCTACCACTACTTCATTACTTTCCTTTATTAGCTTATTTTTACCATAGACAGGTACTTGGGCTGCTTCTGGAAGATCGTTGGGTGTGCATCTTTTGTGAGAGCTGGGTGTCCTCACGGTTCCATCAGGACGAGTCATGCTGTCTTCTGTGAGGATGAACCGTGAGTCGAAGTGTTTAGCACACACGACTGAAGATGCATTTGGTGTGAAGTCTTCCCTGTGGATGGCCTTCGTCTACTGCTGCCAACGATCCTCGTCCTTTGGGAAGCGGAACACCGACGTATCGCACCCATAGTAATTTGATTTACAGCCAGGTACATAGCATTTCCGTGGCATCTACAATACAAATACAGTGCAGTGACATAGTGGTAGGGAATACAATGGCATTGTAGTGGAATTCTCCCCTACAAACGCTGTTTGTCGCTGAGTAGTCGACCCCACCAATTCCCCAGTGTATGCCACGTGGTCTGGGTCAACCAGTGCCGCCATACATCACGGAGCGGGGGTCAACTACTAAGCCACGCCTACCCCCGCTATTTAAGACCTGACCTCGTGGTGATCTCTCTCTTTCTACCTACAGCCGCAGCCAGCAACACCTCCTCCTCCGCCGCTGCCTGGCGGCCCTCGCTCCTCCTCCGCTGCCTGGCGGCCCTCGCTCCTCCTCCGCCTGCCTGGCGGTCCTCGCTCCCGCCGGCGAGCATGGCGACCCACAAGCTGTCCTTCTCTGAGCGTCCTCACCAACCAGCTCTCTCTACATCACACTTCTAACCATGCTGCCTTCCCAACACCAAGCTGTACATCCAATACAACATGTATAAAGAGAGCACATTGTGAGTTTCCTTTCTCCATCCCATCCTGAGTGTGAACCAAACATCTTGAACCCCACAAATGGTGACCCCGGAGATTCGCACTCACACAGAATGGAGGAGAAACTGATCACGCTCCCAGTCTTCAAGCAACATGGAAGACTGGCTTATCCACACAGAAGCAGCACTCATCGGCTCTACAACTACTGTCTCTACACCGCAGGTTAGACACCCTAGAGCAGCTCTGCTACTCTAAGCAGACACCAGCTCCTCTTCCTGTCCCAAGCACCACGTCCTACCGACCCCAGCACACCCGTCCTGCCTCAGACGCCGACCCCGGACCAGCAGTAACCCCTGCCACCCTTGACGCGGCCTCTGTTCCTGACGCGGACCCACACACACCCTCTTTTCTCCCTCAGGTACTCCCTGCTTATGTCCTGCACCCTGCTGCTGTCGTGGACCCAGCTGCTGTCACGAGCCCTAATCCGCTTGTGCTGACGCAGCCCCTGCTCCTGACCCAGGCCCACACACCCCAGCAGGCGCATCTGACGACTCTGTACCTGCCGTGAGGGAGGCACAACATTCATCGCCTCCACACACCCTTTTTCTCCCTTTACTCCAACAGATATGGTGTATCTAGACAGTTGTATCCAGCGACCGGCTCATCCACGCCATCGCCGTTGTCTCACATGAGGCATGCACCGCCCGTTCTGCCTCACGTGTGCTAAGCAACTCTGCAGACAACAAGTCTCCTACACCGCCTGGAGGGAGGGGGGAGTATTGTAGTGGAATTCTCCCCTACAAACGCTGTTTGTCGCTGAGTAGTCGACCCCACCAATTCCCCAGTGTATGCCTCGTGGTCTGGGTCAACCAGCGCCGCCATACATCACGGAGCAGGGGTCAACTGCTAAGCCACGCCTACCCCCGCTATTTAAGACCTGACCTCGTGGTGATCTCTCTCTACCTACAGCCGCAGCCAGCAACACCTCCTCCTCCGCCGCTGCCTGGCGGCCCTCGCTCCTCCTCCGCCTGCCTGGCGGTCCTCTCTCCCGCCGGCGAGCATGGCGACCCACAAGCTGTCCTTCTCTGAGCGTCCTCACCAACCAGCTCTCTCTACATCACGCTTGTAACCATGCTGCCTTCCCAGCACCAAGCTGCACTGTACATTCAATACAACATGTATATAGAGAGCACATGTTGTATTGGATGTACAGTGCAGCTTGGTGCTGGGAAGGCAGCATGGTTACAAGCGTGATGTGGAGAGAGCTGGTTGGTGAGGGTGCTCAGAGGAGGACAGGCAGCTTGAAGGGCGGCATAGTCGCCGGCGGGAGCGAGGATCGCCAGGCAGGAGTGGAGGAGGTGGTGTCACTTGAAGACTGGCTGTAGGTAGTAAGAAGAGAGATAGGTCACCACGAGGTCAGGTCTTATATAGCGGAGGTAGGCGTGGCTTAATAGTTGACCTCCGTCATGTAAGGCGGTCTGGTTGACGTAGACCACGATGCCTACACTGGGGAATTCGCGGGGTCGGCTACTCAGCGACAAGCGTTTGTAGGGGAGGAATCCACTACAATGTAACGACATTTATTCGTCTTCCTTTCACCCGTTTTGCTACCTTTACTTTTTTACTGCTGATCTGACCACTTTTAGTACTACATGGCCTTTGTTTGCCTGCTACTTTATATTCTCAGAAATGCAAATAAATCACTGCAGGTGCGCATGATCCATGTATATGCTGATAACCACATAGGAAACAAGAAAACATGAAGTTTCCAAGTGCTTTCGTCAGAAATTTGATTATGATTCCATTATGATTATGATTTAAAAGTTTTTGATTGTGATTATTCTTTTTTTTATTGTGATTTGATTATGATTACAGAGCTTAAATTTTTTTATTGTGATTTGAATATGATTGTTTTATTTGATTATGATTTTATTATGATTACAGATACAGTATTGTAAATGTTTATTATTATTTGATTATTCTTTTGCATTTAATTATAATTATCATACTTGATTTTTCTTATGGTCCTTTATGCTGGTGAAAAATTCAATAGGTATAGTAGAGTAGTAAGCC